GGTGGCGAGCCGGGCGCACTAGGCCCACTAGCAGGACGAAGACGTCCTCCTCGTGGACAGGCGGGCCCCGTGCACTGGCAGCACAACGACAACGACCTCCTCGTGGACACGGCCCCCGGTGGCGAGCCGGGCGCACTAGGCCCACTAGCAGGACGATGACGTCCTCCGTGTGGACACGGCCGCCCCGGCCGCGGCCGTGTGCACTGGCAGCAACGGCAACGGCCTCCTCGTGAACACGGCCCCGGGTGGCGAGCCGGGCGCACTAGGCCCACTGGCAGGACGATGACGTCCTCCGTGTGGACACGGCCGCCCCGGCCGCGGCCGCGGGGCGCGTGCACTGGCAGCACAACGACAACGACCTCCTCGTGGACACGGCCCCGGGTGGCGAGCGGGGCGGGAGGACACCCGTTCTCAAAAGGGAATGACTCGGCAGCTAACCACCCCCTCCACATTTCTGTATCCTCACGGCCTGCTGGATTCTCGTGTATGTGTGTGTGTGTATGTGTGTGTTCGCAGTTCGCACTTTTCGTACGCAGACGTTCTCTCTTCCTCTCTCGGCGATTCGCGCCATTATTCTGCGAAGCATATTTCTCCTCTAATCTGAGAAGTTTGTTGGTTAAAGGTAAGCTTTTGAATTATAAATCAAATGCCTGGATTTGTGCCGTTGAATTGCCCTACCCCTTCTATGATTGTCAAGTAGTCTTTTTAATACGTTGTATATTATCGTAAGGGTCTAATGATGCCGGCTCGGAATCAATCAGGTGTTATGTACCGCTAAAACAATGTTTCTGAGCAACATCTTCTGAAATATTGCTGTTTTCTATTCATTTTAATTTCTCTCTGAAAAAAACTGCATATTGAAGTATTTTGGTATCCTTTGTTCCTTTAGTTTGAGGTTAGGATGCTCATGCCTGTTGAATTTGAATGGCTACAATTATCTATGCCTGAGGATTTCGGTTGACTTTGCACTTACTAACTCTCTTTATGTATTCTTGCAGAGAAGCAGATTTTGTGGTCACACTTTGAAAATGACTGACAAGGACAAGCCCAAAGAGCCTGAAGTAAGTTTTTTATTGTCAGCTGTATCTCTTTGTGCTTATTGTGTTGTACACTAAATTCTAACTTTTACTTTTCAGTCGGATTCTTTCTGGAAAACTGTGGAAAAAAAGATGAACTGTACTCTTCCAAAACTTCTTAAGAACATCCTTGAAAATTATGGTTATGATTCATTGCCAGCTTTTAGGCGTTTCAATGCAAGCCAAATTGACAATATTGAAAAGTTTATGCAAGAAAAGTGCTTCAGACTTATTGAAGCCAATGAGCTTAAAGATTACTATGGAAGGTTTGCGAAAGCGCCTGAACTGTACGAATTGGGAGGATTTCGAGGGGTTCTTGAAGAATTGGCGGACAAATTTAAAAATGATGTTCACCAGAGGCCATCAACTTCATCAAAGGGTCCACCAACAACTGCCACTCAGGAGCCTACATCTGACACCGACTTGTTGCTGAATGAACAAAACCATCTTTATGAAATGTTAAAGACATACATTAATGAAAATTTTCCACAAGTATTTGAAACTGAGGATGCTGATTTTGGTGATGACGATCAAGAGCAACCTCAAGCAAATGAACTGATTGTGAAAGTAACGAAAAATGGTTTTGGTCAATTTGTTGCCACAGTGCAGTGTCCATCTTGTAAAAAAATACTAAATGGTTCCAAAACTGCTAAACGGTGGAAGCACAATGTTTACAGGCATATAAAAGACCACCATTTAAAGCCAATAGGCAAATCTAATCAAAAAACCCTCTGTGAATCTTTTAATCTAACACCAAAGGTAAACATTTTCTTCACTTCTTATTTGTGTTACTTATTGTTCAAACGCTAACTTGTGTTTTGTTTTAGAAATCAGTGACTGTTAGAGATTGCTCAAGGTCACCTTCTCCAGCGAAGAGGCGTAGAAGAAATTCAGTCAATAGTATACGGATAAGCTCTGAGGAAGATGAGCATGTGAGTTCTGTTAATACTAGTACTTCCTTTGATTATTTGTTTCAGCGTAAAGTTTTATTCTTTTCTAAAATATGAGTGGTTATATTTATATG